TCAAAGTCCTTCCCCTTTGTTTGCTGAAACCCCTTTGCTACAAGCCTTGACTTGTAGCGGGTCAGCTCCCCATAATTGTGCCTGAAGATAAGCTTCGAAGAGATTGCCTTCTTCCCAGCAGACAACTCACACAGCTCCCACGTTTCATTTTCCAGCAGGGAGGCGTATTCCTCCTTCACACTCTACTTCCACCTTTCAGCATCGGGCCCGCTTAGTGCATCAGCGAACGCCTTGGGCTCAGGGACGGCTGCCCAGTAGCAGTGCGCTATCTCCTCCTCATTGCACTGCTCAGCCACACTCCCAGCCAGCTCCACATTTTGTGTGGCACCGCGATTATAACTTAGTCTGACAGGTAGGCGCACGTCCCTCCTAGGACGCTCAGGCGGGCATGGAACACGTGGTGCAGCACGTGGCTGCTCCTGCGGCTGCTGCTGCTGTTGCTGCTGTTGCTGCTGCTGCTGCTGTTGCTGCGGCTGCTGCTGCTGCTGCTGCAGTCGTTGCTCCTCCACCTCTGGTTCTCCCCCATCCTTAGTCACCCCAGAGATCTCCTCCTCGGAGACAGAAACCTCCACCTGTCTTAAATGCCGCTGCACCTCATCGGCCTCAACGATCAGCGGTGTAGTTGGAAGCTTCTGCTGCTGCTCCTAATTCCACTCCTTGTAGTACAGAGACTCAAGGAACTTCACATCCCTTGAGACAACCAGCTGCTGGCTGGTCAAGTCCTATAATAGCCAGCCCTTAAGATCCTTGCCAATTTCCAAGAGCACACCCCATCTCCCAGAAGCTTCCAGCTTTCCCCTCTTCTCCTTAGGCACATGAAACACCACCATGCAGCCGTAGGCTCTCAGCATGTTGACTGCAGGTGCACTCCCATACCACTTGGTGTAGGGGACCCACTGCTTGTCCCCCACAGTCGCCAGCACCCTGTTCTTCACAAGAGCGACCTGCATCAGTGGAGTCACCCAAAACGGATCCGGCAGCCCTGCACGCCCAAGGAGAGTGCGAGCACCTTCCTGCAGGGTCCGGTTGAATCGCTCAGCCACGCCGTTCTGCTGAGGGTTGTAGGGCACTGTGAGCTGATGCTGGTTCCATTTCTTCTTCAGCACCGCAACAAATTCAGTGCCAATGAACTCTCCCCCATTGTCCGTGCGGATCACCTTCACCTTGTGTCTGCTCTCCTTTTGAGACCTCGGCATCCACTCCTTAAGAACAGCCGCTGCCACCTCCCCCTTAGTCTTGAGAGGGTAGACCCACACCGCACGCGTGTGGTCATCCACAATGGTCAAGAAGTAGCGGCTGCCCGAGAGAGAAGGGGCCCTCGTAGGGCCTACCATATCCATGTGCACAAGCGCAAGTGGAGCCTTGGCTGGTCCCGTGCTGCTGCTGAAGGGAAACTTTGTGAACTTCATGTCAAGGCATGTAGGGCAGCTCCCAATCTCCTTTGCTGCCCCCTTCACCTCCAATCCCTTCAAGCTCCCATCCTTCACTAACTTCTGCAGCATAGGTACGTTGATGTGACATAGACTCTCGTGCCACGTCTCCCAATCGGCCTCACCACTCCCAGATGAAGCCTTTGCCCATGCAGCTGTCCCATCCACACCAGCAAGCACCTCACCATGTGGCTGCTGTGGCTGCTGCACCTTCTTGACTGCATCCAGGGCCCCATCAGTTGGTGCAGTCTCCTCTCCTCCCGCAGTTGCCTTAGCCATTGCTGCTACCGCTGCCGTTGCTTAAGGAATCCCATTCCAAGGGATGATGGGCAGCTGCCACAGGTCCTTGATGCAGCTGCTCTTCTCCTCCAAATTCCACAACAACATCTTCCCAAGTTTTGCACGGCAGCTGGTTGGGCCAAATGTCACTTTGGCCTTGCTCTTCTGCAGCCGGCGCACAGAAAGAAGGTTAGCGGACAAACCTTCAACCAACAACACGTTCCCAAGCCCCACAAGCTCCCCATTAGCTCCCATCACCTTGGCATTCCCAACACCAATCACAGGGAGCAAAGCACCTGAAGCGGCAGCCACAAACTTGATCTTCCCAGGGGGCTTTACCTCATCAAGCAAATCTGCCCGTGGGGTCATGTGACTTGTGCAACCTGAATCTATCACCCAGTGAGTGAGGGGGTGCATCACAACCTTCCCAACTGAACCCACATCACCCTCACTCCCATTCACATCCTCAACCATGAGGAACATCCCATGGAGGCTTTACCTTGTGCACCTTCACCTTGTGCACCTGAACCTTGCACAGCACCACCTCGTGCGCGTTCACCACTTGGCGGCTTCATGCCTGGAGGCGCCCATCCCTCAGGCCGGCTGAAACACTTGAACCATGGGTGTCCAGCCTTCTTGCAGTACCTCCATTTGGGTGCTCCCCCTGCCACCAGAGCTCCCATGCCCCTCATTGTAGTCACTTCGAACTGTCCCTCTGCCAAAGCCGATCCCACGGCCTCGGCCCCTCCCACCCCCTCTTCCTCTACTGCCTCCTGCAGCACCATACCCCTCAGCAGTCTTGTTGGCAGCACCGCCTCCTGTATGGCGCCTACAAAAGTCCTCGTGCTGAATCTGCTGCCGTAGCCACTCAGGTGTCCACTGGTCCTGCTGAGCGTTGAGGGTGGGGATGAGGTTGTCCCACGAGTTGTCGAGCACCGAGATGATCTTGGTGCACTGCTGCATCTGCGACACCTTGCTGCCCGCCGCTGCCATCCTCGCATAGGTGTCCTTGATTTTATCAAGCACCGTCTTCACATCGTCTCCCGGTTGCAGGGAGAGGGTAGCCAGCTCCTTCTCCAACACAATCACCATGAGCAAGGAAGTAACGCAAAGCGATGTGCTTCGTTCTGTGCTCCAGTCTATGCTGCTGGCACAAGGCAATAGCGGCCTTGTTGTCTACGTACAGAACTGGAGGAGAACGAGGCCACTCACCCAAGTCGGTCAGCAGGTAGGTGAGCCAGCGTAACTCCTGTGCAGCCATGGCTCCTGCATAGATCTCAGCCTCACAACTGGAGCTGAGAAATGAAGACGAACGGGTAGACCACCAAGAAACCGAGCCGGAGCCAGGGCTGAAAGTGTAACCCTGTGACGACCGCTGCGTAGCCAGGTCGTCAACCTAAGAGGCGTCTGTGAGAACAACTGAACTCCGTCCTCCAAGCACAAGCCCCATGCTTGATGTACTGCACAAGTAGCGTAACACCCTCTTAGCGGCCTCCCAGTGTTGTGGTTGGTGTCTCCCAGGTGCAACGTAGCGAGCCAGGATGCTAAGAGGGTACGCAAGGTCAGGACGAGTGCAGGTCATCAGGTACATGAGGCACTGGATACGGGCCACTCGGCTCTATGGACTCGTCCAAAGGTGGAGCTGAGAGCGAGTGACCGGTAGGCAGAGGAGTGGACTATGGCGAGGAGAACCGGAAGCCGAAGCGCTGAAGGACCTGGTGCACCATGTGTGACTGAGTCAGAGTGATGGTGCGTTGTGTTCTGTCCCGGGTGATCTGCAAGCCAAGGTAGCTGCGCAGCTCACCCAGGTCAGTGCAAGTGTGTCTCTTCTGCAGCTCCGACTTCACAAGAGCCAGTGCCTCAATGTCAGCACTGGCAAAAACCAAGTCGTCGACATACACGAGGATGTAGAACGGCGGCAGCGAAGTGTCGGTGCGCAAAAACAGCGACGGGTCAGCAGTCGAAGGAGCAAACCCAAGAGCCGCAAGTGTCGTCCTTAGTGTGTCGTGCCACTCACGAGGCGCCTGACGGAGACCGTAGACTGGCCGTCGGAGGCTCCACTGGGTACCCTCAGGAAACGACCCAGTGAAGCCAGGAGGACGGCGCAGCCAGATCTCCTCGTGCAGGCTGCCCCGCAAGAACGCTATGCTGAAGTCAAGAGAGTGAAGCTCGTAGTCACGCTGAGCGGCAACGTGCAGCAAAACTCAAAAAGTGGACATCTTTGGGGTAGGGGAGAAGGTCTAAAAGAAGTCAACTCCCTGTCGCTGACTGAAGCCTCGTGCAATGTAACGAGCCTTGAAGACAGGCGGAGAACCAGGCGGCCGCTTCACCCTGAAAATCCACATGCCATCGACTATGTTCGCTCCAGGAGGGGGAACCGCGTCAACGTAAGTGCCTGTGGACTTCCAAGATGCCATCTATGCGTCCATGGCTGTCTGCCACTGAGAGGAGTAGGGACCCAAAATCGCCTCTGCAAAAGAGCGCGGCGTCGCGATGTTTAGTGCATCCGGGTCTCCCTCAGGTGCAAGCAGCATGGCCACGAGATGAGGTACAGCAGCTGCAAGACACTCAAAGTCCTCCTGCCTTTCTTCAAGGACGTTCGTGCCCAGAGCACACTCACCCCCGACGGACGGAGGACAAACAGACTCAGACTCAGCAACAAGACTAGTGGCGTAGTCTAGACGACACGCAGCAGCAAAGTCAACAAGCTCAGCAACTAAGGCAGACGCAGCAGTGGACTCAAAAGAAGGGTCAGTGACAACAGTGGCTAGAAGACATGTAACATTAGGGCTGGCTGTACGAACCAAGTCCAACTCAAGGTCCGGAACGTCAGGAAGAGAGGAAGCCGGTGGAGACGGCAGGGGAACTTGCTGTGGAACAGAGGAAGGACGGAGTGCCATGGTGTGCATGCTAGGGACAGGTGGAAGACGAGGATGGGGAATACGACAAGCACGGCGAACTGTGCGAACAGGGGAGGCAGGATGAGACGCAGGCTCACGACGCTCTGTAAGGGAGGCTGGCTGCTCAGTGTAACGAGGGGGGGCAGGCAGCGTGATTCAGGAGGAAGGTTAGTGGACGAAGGAAGACTAAAAACCTGACGGAGCACCGAGTCAGGCGGTAGCAGTGACAGCTGCAGCGGCGGCAAGAAAAACGGTCGCTGCTGCACAGTGCCTCCAGCACCAGTACCGGCAACTCCAGCGCCTCCAGGGTCAGCACCTTCAGCTCTAGTGCCTCTAGCTCCACCACCTCCATCTCCAGGGTCTCTAGCACCAGCGCCACCAGCTCCGGGGTCTACAACTCAAGCGCCTCCAGCTCCAGCGTCTCCAGTGACAGCGCCCCCAGCTCCAGTGCCCCCGGCTCCTGTGCCTCCAGCTCCAGCGCCTCCAGCGCTAGCGCGTCCAGCTCCAGTGCCTCCAGCTCCAACGCCTCCAGCTCCAACGCCTCTAGCTTCAGCGCGTCCAGGGCCAGCGCCTCCAGCTCTAGCGCCTCCAGCTCCAGCGCCTCCAGCTCCAGCGGCTCCAGCCGCAGTGCCTCCAGCGCCAGCGTCTACAGTGGCAGTGCCTCCAGCTCCAGCAGCGCCACTCCGAAGGCGGGTGCGCCGAGCAAACCACTCGCGCAGCTGCTGTGGTGAGAGAGGCTCCCGCTGGCTAGACGACTGCGGCGAGGCACCCGTAGCACCTCCAGCAGATGCAGGACCCCTAGGCACAGCACCCCGAGGCTCAGCACCCGCAGGCTCAGCACCCCCAGACTCAGAACCCCCAGCCTCAACACCCCGAGCCCCCTCACCCCCAGGCTCTACACCCCCAGGCTCCGAACCCCCAGGCTCCGCACCTCCAGGCTCAGCACCCCCAGGCTCCGCATGCTCAGGCTCACCCCAGGCTCCGAACCTGCAGGCTCAACACCCCCAGACGCAGCACCCCGAGCAGCACCAGAGTCGCTAGTGACCTCGACAAGCTCAGCCAAGGGGAGTGGGTCTACCTGAGACAAACCGGAAGGAGCAGGACCCTTGGGGGGGGAAGGGGGCCTAACGGAGGGGGATCTGGAGCGAGGAAGAGCGGCCGGGGGGGGAGGGAGAGGGGCAGTGCGGTAGGGGAAGAGACAGTAAAAGGGAACCGACTCGTCAAACGTGACGTCCTGAGATGACAAAACAGGGCGTGAGGTGGGGTGGTAAAACTGCCAGCCAGGCGCGTCACGGGGGAAGCCAAGGAAGACACAGGGAATGGCGCGGGAGGAGAGCTTGTCCGCGGAGGTATCACAGACAAAGGCACGAGCGCCCCAAACCCGCGACACCAACGCATTGCCAACCTCCCCCGTCCAACACATGTAGGCGAGGTTTCCGACATGGAGACACGGGGCCAGAGGTTGAGCTGATGCGCAGCGTACCGGACCGCAAACGGCCATAGAAAATGGGGAGCAGCCGCATGGATCATCGAGGCACGAGCCACCTCCATGACTAAGCCAATGCGGCGCTCAGCAACCCCATTCTGCTGCGGGGAGGCCGGAAGCGTGAACGACTGGAGGATGCCCTCCCCACGACAAAAGTCCCGCAAGAGGTCGGAGGAGAACTCACCACCTCTGTCAGAGTGCAGACGCAGGACAGGAAGGTCTTCGCGGAACCGCTCGTGGAGCTGGAGACGGACTGCACGAATCCAAGGGATCAAAACATCAGGGACCTCCCCCTTGCTGTGCAAGGGGAAGACCGTGGTGTAACGCGTGTAGTCGTCAACAACCAGCAGAAAATACCGCACGCGGTCCTGTCTACGGATGTGGGCTGGGTCCCACACGTCCATGTGGAGAGTCTGCAGGAGAGCAATCCTCGGGGGAAACGAAGAGGAGTGAGGAGCGGCGCGCTGCCGCCCCTCAACGCAAGGAAGGCAGGGCGGGGCAGGCAAGTGCAGGAGGAGAGGCAGAGACCTGGGAAGACCAGAAACAAGGAGGCGGGAGTGCATGCCATGGAGGCGTGGCAGGGAGGGGTGACCAAGGCGGTGGTGCCAAAGGAGAGTCTGGTGCGATAGGAGGCGACACGAACATGGGGCGGCTACCTGACCTGACGCGGACACCTGACCAGACGCAGCTACCTGAGCAGGCTCTGTAGTCTGTGTGTATAGACTCGACCCAGGCCGACGGGTGAACGTGGCCAGGTGACGGCCCGTCCGTGCACACGTGCAGATCGCCACACGCTGACCCCAAGGAGTGGTGATAGTGACCATCTCATCCTCGAGGGCAGCGATACTCACCAAGTTTGTAGAGAACGAGGGGAGGTGAAGACCTGAGAGTGAGCCAAATGGAACTGCCAGACACAAGGGAACAGTGGAGGAACGTGCAAGAACTGGGCCCCCTGAGGGGTCAGCCAGTCGGAGTGCAACAGGTGCAGGGAGTGGTGTGAGTGTGGTACTATTGCGAAAGAAACAGCGGGAAGCACCTGAGTCAAGCGTGAAGGTGTGCAAGGCCTCAGCAAGCGCAGTACCAGAGAGAGCAGACTCACTAGCACCTAGAGCAGCAGCCTCTATACCTGGGTCGGGCGGCACACACAAGTAACAGTCACCCTCAGCACTAACAGTCAAAGCATACATGGCAGCAAGGATAGCATCATAGTCAAGAGCAAAGATATCAACACCAGACCTAAGCAGCTCTAGCTAGCCGGGGAGCTCTGCCTCGTCGCCAAACTCAGCGCACCAAGCGTCGTCAAGGCGGGAGAAGCAGCGGTGCTGGGTGTGTGTGATACTTCCCGCATGTCTGACTAGCGCGGTCACCTGTGCGGATGACGTACGGGCAGCGAACACTACCCCCAGACGCCCCACGTGGAGCAAACCACTCACAAAGCTGCTGGGATGAAGCGGTCTCGCGCGGACGCTGTTGCTGCTGCCACTGGCCACCGCCAGAACCTCCCCTCTGAACGGCTCCACCCCGACCACCACCACTGCCGCCGCCACCACTCCCACTGCTACCACCACCACCGCCGCCACCACTCCTACTGCTGCCACCACCGCCACCACCACTCCAACCGCTGCCGCCACCGCCGCCACCGACGCCCCCACTCCCGCCACCACTACCACCGCCACCTCAGCCACCTCCACCGCCTCCACTGCCTCCACCACCACCCCCCCCCCCCGCTGCCACCTCCACCACTCTTGCCTCCCTTGCCCTTGCCGTTGCGGAGCTTCCCACTAGGAGCAGAAGCAGCACCAACCTCCTCAGCACCAAGGAAGTCAACAGCAGCAGCAGAAGCGTTGGAGGGGGCAAGGGGGGAGGGGGAGCACCCCTCAAAGAGGGGCATGCGAGGAGTGTCACGAGCAGCACCTACAGCGACTATGCTAGTCTCAGCTGCAAGGAGGTGCTCCTCGAGCAGGTCGACAGTGAGGTCTGTGGGGTCAAGGGCGAGAAAGTGGTCCCTGACAGCACGAAGAGAGTCAGGGAGGTGTCTGCGCCTGACGAGCCACATCGACTTCGGGATACCAGCCCGCAGTCGCCTTCGCCATCGCGACCTCGACTGTTGGTGTAAGGGCCTAATAAACTCAAGCTATTAGGACTTAATCAAACTTAAAACCTCTCCTCGGGGTCACCTCCAAGGGTCCCTGGGTGCCTGGTACAAGACCAGCCCCTATCCTCGGGTCCGAGTTTGTAGAGAGAGGGATCAAGAAGGACTTAGTCAAAACAGCAAGAGTACCTTGAACGTCGCGCAGCGTGCCATGCAGACCGTCGGTCGGATTAAGCTGAGAATTCGCTATATCGAAGCTCGCTCCAAGAGCTTTAAAATGAGCCAAGTTGCCTCGCGAAAAGTTCTGCCATTACTAAGTTATGGCTCGGACAGCGTTTGCCTAGCGTTGGAGTGCTAGCATACTAGCGTTGACTCGGGTAGCATTCCGCCGTCGAATAGCGCAGAAACGAAATTCCAGCGAGGAAGGAATTCGCATGAATCAATTTGACTATATTCAGGTACAAACAGAGAAGGATTAAATAGTTCTAGCTAGCAAGGACCTTGGGAATCAACCTGGGAACAACCAGGGATGATCCCAAATAATTCCAAGCAACAGAACCAACCAGGCTGGACAAAATAGCAGGTGGTAGGTTGGTAAACAACCTCTGGTTCTGTTTTTCCAACCTGGGAAAACAACAACCAGGTTCAGGTTCTAAAAACAGAACCTGTTTTGTCTTTGCCCAACCAGCCAAATGCTGGTTCCGCTGGTTTCCCCTGGCCTTGTAGCATGCAGATACAGACAAACAACATCCAACCTTCACCTAAATTGTACCCCTATAGTGCCTTCCCTGCTACACTATAGTTAACCAAACAAAACAGTACAATTTCGAGTTGGATAGAACTGAATCTGCGCAATCAACTCAACCGAACTGCAAAGCTTCCATCTTGGGTTCCTTTGTGAGCTCGTCCTTTCTGCTTGCACTGTTCATAGCGCGTACAATGTTGTGCCGAAGCGCACATTGCGCGAGTACCTGCAAATGCATCAAGCGAAAAATGCGAAAGCAAACAAACACACGAACACACCATTCACACACAAATGCATTCGCACACGCATACTCGTACAAACAGACGGCAGGATGTCGTGCAATGTGCATTTGCACCCAACACACTCCCCCTCAGCCTGCCGGCTGCATCCCCGTCATTCCATGCTAGTTCATGCTCATTCCACTCATGCGCACACAACGCCAATGAGGCTCATCCGCAAGCCTCTTGGTGAGAAAGTCTGCTGGCTGCTGGTGAGTCTTGATGTAGATTGGATTCACCGTCCCCCTCTTCACCTCCTTACGCAGCCAGTGCCACTTGATACGCATGTGCTTGTTCAGGCCATGAAGCACAGCGTTCCTGGCCATCCCAAGAGCCCCCTTGCTATCACAAAACAGCGGCGTAGCAACTTTCTGCTCCTGGCCAATCTCCTCTAACAGCCTCCTCAGCCAAATCACCTCCTTCACCCCATGGAACATCGCCATGTACTCTGATTCTACGGAAGAGAGTGCCGTCTCCGTCTGCTTCTTGGACCTCCAACTAACAGGTCCTCCCCCAACTACGCAGATGTATCCTCCCACAGATGAGGAATCCTCCTTCTCAGAAGCCCATGTAGCATCGGTAAAGCAAGTGAGAAATAGCTTGCCTTCTCCAAGCCTCTCCCCCTTCTCTTTCAGCACCTCCACCCCTTTCTGCTTCACCTGTGCAGATGCGGAGTATTGAACTCCAATGCTTGGGTGAGAGTTCAGGTACTTCACCACACGCTCAGCTGCATCCACCTGCTCCTCTGATGGATTCTGCACCACCCTAGCCAGCTGCCCAACCGAGAAAGAGATGTCGGGCCTCGTGTGAACTGCTGCGTACAAGAGGCTGCCCACCAAGGACTGAAATTGCTGCTGCTCTTCAGCTTCAACCCCTTCATCCTCTGCAGCCTTCACAAGCTTGAATTCTGCTGGCAGGGGAGTTGCAACCTTGCGCTCATTCTCAATCCCATACTTCTCCCCCAGCTCCTTGATGAACTTCTCCTGATGCAGCTTCAACCACCTGTGATCTGGATCCCTCTCCACGTGCATCCCGAGGTAGTACTTTACCTCCCCAAGGTTCTTGCACTTGAAGTTTTCCATCAGTTGCTGCTGCACTTTCTGGATCTCCTTCATGCTGCTGCTGAAGAGAAGAATGTCGTCCACATAGACCAGAAACAGCACCAGCTTCTCCCCCTCGCCCTTGAGAAAGAGGCTCTCATCACAGCTGCTGGTCCTGAATCCCATCTCCTCTAAAACAGCTGCCAACTTCTGGTACCAGCAGCGTGGCGCCTGCTTCAAGCCGTAGATGGACTTGTTGAGCTTGCACACCCTGCCCGTACCATCCTCATACCCAGGCGGCTGCGTCATGTACACATCCTCCTCTAAAATCCCATTCAGGAATGCCGTTGAAATATCCATCTGAATGATGAATTTCCCACTAACAGCTGCATCTGCCAACAAGACACGGAGGGTAGGGGGTTTGGCAGTGGGAGCAAAGATCTCGTTGAAGTCCTGCTTCTCCTTCTGCATAAACCCCTTCGCCACCAGCCTACTCTTGTAGATGGTGACCTGCCCCTTGTCATCGGTCTTGATCCTCAGCACCCACTTGCATTGTATCGCTTTCTTCCCATCAGGCAGCACCACCAGATCCCATGTCCTATTCTCCAGCAGACTCTGGTACTCAGCATCCCTAGAAGCCAGCCACTTGTCCCTATCTGGTCCAGCTAATGCCTCCTCCATGCTAGCTGGTTCCTCTGGTGCAGGGGCAAGAAAACAGTACGCAGGCTCATCCTCCTCATCCGGGTCATAGCCATGAGGTAGAATCAGCAATGCCTCTTCGGTCCCTAGCTGCTGCTCTGCTGCATCAGTTCCTGCAGTCAGCTTCTTAGTAGCCATACGGGTACGTCCTGGCCTGGAGACGGGTGTCTCCCATCCCTTCATAACGACACCCTTCGGCTTCTTAGTTTTTCCCTGCTGCTTCTCTCCTCCCTCGGGTCCAGCAGCTCCACTAGTGCTGCCGCCAGTTTCCACACCATTTTCTCCACCAGCAGATGCCTCCTGTACCTTCTCTCCATCACCATTTCCAGCAGCTGCCTCCTCTCCCTCCTCCCACACACTAGGAGTCAGGTCCAGCTGCATGGTGATCTGCTCCATCTGCTGGGACATCCTTGCCTCCGGCTGTTTCTCCCAGCTCCCATACATCATGCCCTCAATGAATTTCACATCCCTGCTGTCAAACAACACACCCTTGGATGGTTCCCACAGCAGCCATCCCTTGCTCTCAGCAGCCAGCCCCAAATGCACACACCAGATTGCACTCGCCCCCAACTTACTTCGGTAGGTCTTGGGGACGTGGGCGACTGCCATGCAACCGAACACCCTCAGCATGTCCACCGGCGGCTTCCTCCCAAGCCACCTCTCCAACGGCACCCACGAGTCATCCCCAACCTTGGTGAGCACCCTGTTCCTAGCGACAGTGGCGTGCCGGACAGCATGAGGCCACATAGAATTGCTCAGCCCAGATTCTATGAGCAGCGCCCTAGCTGTCTCCAGAATGGTCCGGTTTGCCCGTTCTGCTACACCATTGGACTGTGGGGTATAAGCCGTGGTCAGCTCTCTCTGGATGCCCTGCTTCTTGAGCCAGGCCGTCATTTCAGCTCCAAGGAACTCACCACCCCGGTCTGTCCTAATCCGCTTCACTACACACTCCGCCTGCTTCTCCACGAATGGCAGCCAATCGTCCCGTATCGTGGAGGCGGCGTGGTCCTTCTGCTTCAGCGGATACGCCCACATCAGCCTGCTCCAGTCATCCACAATTGTAAGAAAATACCGCTCCCCCTTGTGCCCTTGCACCGGCAGCGGCCCCACCAAGTCCATGTGGACCAGCTCCAAAGGCTTCTTGCTCCTGCCAGCCACACTATGGAAAGGGAAACGGGTGAACTTTGAAAGCAAACAGATTTCACAGTTGTCATCGGGTGGCTGTCCGTTCAGCTTCAGACCCTTAACGGCTCCGTCCTTCTCCAGCTGCTTCAGCAAAGGCATTGCCACATGCCCTAAGCGCCGGTGTGCCGTTGCCCAATCTGTCTTCCCAGATCTGGCCGACACTTTCACACCAACCCCTCCAACGGCATTGCACTCCCCCTGGGATGCAGACCCCTCTCCAGCCTGCCCCCCACCATGCCACGCCAGGGCCGGCAGCTGCCACATAGATCTGTACACGTCCTTGCTCTCGTGCAGATCCCAAAGCACCCGATTGCCCAGCTTCCCCTTATAAGTGCGTGCCCCATCCGTGTTGGTGTTCACCCCAGCCTTGCCAAGCTTACGGAGGGAGATAAGGTTGGCCTTCAGGTCGGGGACGAAGAGAACGTCGTGCAGCACCACCGGCTTGCCATCCGCTCCCTTAAACGCAGCTCGTCCCGCACCAGCCACCTTCAACATGTGTCCAGAGGCGGAGCACACTTCATTGATCGGTGCAGCTCGTACTTCGTCCAGCAGGTCCTTGCGCGGCGTCATCGTCCAAGCAGCGCCTGTGTCCAACACCCAATAGTCTAGGGGGTGCAGCTCTGCTCCAACTTTGGCAGAGGCGTCTCCTTGCTCCCCCTTGTCTCCCACATGGAAGAATTGGCCCGCGGTGCGCTCCTTCTTCTCCGCACCGCCGTTGCCCTTCGGGTTGTTGTCGGACGAATCAGCGACCATGTTGGCGCCGTTTTTCTGGTTCCTCCGCGCGCCGCCATCCTGGTGACGATTCTGGGGGGTCCATCCATCGGGTTTCTTATAGCACAAAAACCAGGGGTGCCCTTCCTTCTCACAATACCAGCAACTCCCTTTCATTTTGCCACCAGCACCCGACTTGCCCCCACGTCCAGATTTCGCACCGCGACCCCAACCGGTACCTCCTTGTTGGTCGTTGGAGTCGTCGTCTTTCTTTGCACCGCGTCCAGCACCACCGAAGCCACGTCC